CCAGACAGATTGTCCTCGGCGTCCAACTCCTCGGACGACTCCAGTTCCGATTGTGGACGATACTGGACGCGACTACCTGCAGCCTTTTTCAGCTGTGAAGCCTTGAGCTTTTGAAGTTGCTGCCTTGCGTCTTCGTCTACTTCGAGTAATTTTTCTGCATCCTCCGAAGCGTTCCACTCACCGGTAGTAAACCTGTTAGCGATAAGGCTACGGACGGATTCCTTGTTCCAATCGGGCAAAACACCGCTGGACTTTGCTTTACCTTCAGAGCCATAGGGCAGGGTCACATCATCAAGGCCTCCGCTGGGCTCAGTAGTGGTCGACAGCTTGAACATACCCCCAGCGATGACAGAGGCATCTTCATCGTCAACATTAGAGGTGGATTCAGCGGCTATTAAGACAAAAGAATGGAATTGGGCGTATAACAGATAGGACCAAAAGGCATGTAATAGTATTTCCATTAACAGGTACTTACGTTCCGTAGGGGTCGGTAAATGAGCATACACATTTATGTGGAAATATTTCTTAAAACTTCGACCATTTCAGGCGATGACGACTGCATGTCCCATGGAATGTGCGCGGCATCGATGAGTGCGTATGAATAGCAATACAAAGTCGAGACGACTGAGTGCAGGGGTGGAGACAATTGCCGAGGAAGTTAAACCGTCCTTTAGCGCGTACTGGACACAATATGCTACCCACTTCAGATGTACTAGGCTACAGCAGAGGACATGATTCTGAGTAAAGTGAAATTTATACGTACTGACATCCGACTTTTCGCCAACAACACTAGAGCTGGCAAAAGTGATTGAAACCTTATTGCGAGGTCGACGTTGCTACGGGAGGAATAAAAGGGAGTGCGTGCATTTGTATGTCATGGTTTTAGATGCAACCTAGGAATGTTCGTGAGTAAACAGGGTTAAGTGTGATCACTGGGTCTGGGTCCATAACAGAAAATAGTTATCGAGGTACATAGTACCGAGTGGGCCTACGCAACGTCCGAATAGCCTGTAGCAGTGTGGACAGGTAAAGCGTGAGTGACGTGCGTATACGGACGCTGCTGACATTGGTTCGTCGGTTTCAATGCAACAGGTTCGCCAGCGACCGACCAAATCGATGTGAGACTCAAGTGCACCGTGACAGCAAGGAAGGATGGACCTGCCTATTGACATGGTGGTGGTGAACTTGGAAGCGCTGGTGGTCAGTGAACTGTCGGGCGTTGGAGGTACGTTTACTGTGATGACATTGTGGTGAATCCCGCTGTCGTGGATGCGCACGTGGCTTAAAATACCAATGAACGGTCTGAAGGTCCTGAGGCAGTGTGGACAGGTGAGACGTGTGTCGAAAGTGTATGTCGGAGATTAAGCCGGACTCTCGGTCCCCG